GTTTAATAAAATTCGTAACAGTTCAAGCTCGTTGCCTCAAAAGTAATGGATATCTAATTTTTATTCATAGTTTATATATATATTTTTATGTTCATAACTCTGTCAGTTTTTTTTTGATGGATGAAAATGGCATGGCAACCCCGCCCGCGCTATCGGTATACGCTGGCGGGGCACCAGTGAGGGATGATAGGTGAGAATGAAAAGGCAGGTCAGTTAGCTCACCGTGACGAATTCAAGTCACGATAGTTTCCAGGGTTAACCGCGCGGAGGTCGACCTGCTAGGGTATATTGATACGAGTAGCAATGGCGACTACCCTCCCCATTACTAACAATCCCTTCCCCCCCAACTGTGTCAGTTGTAAACTAGTTTGGGAAATTGTTCTTTTATTTGAAAGTATATACTTATAGACTACACTAATAGTTTGTGTTAGTTTTTTTAGTAATAAACAAAAGACGTGGATTCTAGAAGATTTACCAGCAATCATTTAAAATCTCCAAGGCAACATAGTGGGCGAAGGGTAGAGCCGTGCCCAGGTAAATGATACTTAGCGGCCGCTCGTTTGCCCCGTGAATTGGGACCGTCTTAATTAAAATGCCTAATGAGAGCCGCTACCAACCTCCCCCTTCTCCTCAATCCACTATAGATGTGCCCACGGCAAGCAAACGTTAGTCTCGCTCCCCCCTTCGTCCCTACATGGTGAATTAATCTCGAATGATAGTTCGGGCAGTTTGCTATTAAAATGATTAAACTTTGGTAGTTGTTTTACTGCTAATCTTTCACGTGCGAATCTAAATTCTGTGACGGCTACATATTCAATTTTTGTTTGTTTTAAAACAGATTATGTATTTGATTAAAATAATATTAATAATAACCTTTACTTTGTCTCTTTTTTAGCTCTAAAGACTTATTAGATATTTTTATTGTGAATATGAAAGTAAGTTTGTTTGTCACATCTTAATGGCTTAAACAGTTTTTATGATTTTTTCTTAATGGATGATAATGAAATGGTAGCCCCGTCTGCGCTATTGGTATATGCTGGCGGGACACCAGTGAGGGATGATAGATGAGGGTGAAGTAAGTCAGTTAGCCCATCGTGACAAATTCAACAATAAACCAATCACGATGGTTTCCAGGGGGAACCGCGAGGAGGTCGACCTGATAGGGTTTATTGCTAGCAATGGGGTTGCTAATCCCCATTACTAACAATCCCTTCCCCCCTCTTTATGATATTTGGTACATGTGCACTATTTAAAGGTAGATAAGGACATAAACTTCTTTCTATCCCGGTCAATTAACATATGCTGGTCACGCGGAAAAAGTAGTGGGTAAAAGCTTGTTCGAGCTACAAGTAATTCTTTACGTGGTGATAATCATAATATATATATTTATTTATATTTTATTGTACTATTTAAAAAAATATTAATTAAATACAGTAAACTTGAATAAGATATCATATAAAAGGCGGCCTTATCACTAAGCAATTTTTTCTAGACAACCTTTACGTAGTGAATTTTGTGAAAAAAGATAAAGTTTAGGTGGCGCACTATTATATAGATACTAATATATACAAACAGGGGGGAGAAGGTTAGTAATGGAGACTGGGAATCCTATTGCTAGCAATATACCTAACCATGTCGACCTCCTCGCGGTTCCCCCTGGAAACTATCATGGTTAATTCCTGATGAATTCATCATGATGGGCTAACTGGTCTGTTTTCATTTTCATCTATCACCCTTCACTGGTGCCCCGCCAGAGTATCCCGTTAGCGCAGGCGGGGTTACCATACCATTTTCACCCATCAAAAAAAATATACAAACAGGGGGGAGAAGGTATTGTTAGTAATGGGAATTAGTAGCCCCATTGCTAGCAATATGCTATATCAGGTTGACCTCCTCGTTGTTTTCCCTGGAAATCATCGTGATTGTTTTATTGTTAGATTCGTCACGGTGGGCCATACCAACCTGCTTCATTCTCATCTATCATCCCTCACCGGTGCCCCGCCAGTGTATACCGATAGCGTAGGCGAGGTTACCACTCCATTATCATTCAATAAAAATATTTAAAATCATATCTTTTCAACGTATCAACTTTTCAAGGTATCGTAAAATATCTACCTATGTGTAGATATCTCTGATACCTATGCAACGCGTCAGGGATCTAAGTATGAGAATGTATTCTGAAATTTACATATTTGCACGCAATGGTTACCATTTCCCAACGGGTAAGCTGTCCCGTCAGCCGTCACAACATGCGTTCCCGAGTATGACACTCGACAAAAAAAATAAAATTGTATTCTTAAAAATAAACATAAGGTTGCCCTTTTATCTCGACCACGTAAAGCCCAGATTTCTCAGCGGGACAACGGTCGCTAACTGAATAAACTATCATACCCTTTTCAAACTGATCCGAGGCGAACCGTCCAGAAACTGATGGCCATTTTTAGGTTTTATATCAAAAGAATAAGAAATTACCAAATAAATATGCATTGTTGTACCCACATGCCATCCAAAATACAAGGTACATAGGCTGAGCTTCTACTTGTAAGATTTTTTTTATACAACTTAGAATGGCAATCAAGCTGACGGCCCACCTGATGGAAAGTGGTAACCGTCGCCTATAGACATGAACAGTGCCATGGACATAACAGAGTACACTGTTTCGCCCATTCTATATTTACCATACTAAATTTATAACGATTATATCATTTAGAATGTATTGTGAATGATAACAGCAAATAGACAAATAAAAAGTTTCATTTTAGTTATTAATAATGATTAAGATTGTGTTTCACAAAAACAAATCGACTGCAACTGGGGCAAAACCAGTTCTTTTGATTTATAAATTAAATTACTGAACCGATTTTGTTGAAATTTCTATGAGAACAATCTGTAAGTTTAGCCTTTCAAATATCAAACGAATTCTTCATATCAGTTTTATAACCGACGGAGTTATTTATTTATTTATTCATTCATTAGTACAAATATGTGTACATGGCGGACTTAATGCTACAAGCATTCTCTCCCAGTCAACCATAGGGAAGTGTCAGAATACTCGAATGCGGTACTACTAATTATTGATATACATACATACTAAAATTACATATATAAACGAATAAATAAATATATATATATATATATATATATATATATATTATATTTATTTATTTATTTACAAATATACTTACACATTGACGGAGTTAAAAGGTAACAAACATAAAAATAATACAACCGAATTGAAAACCCTCTTTTTAAAATCGGTTGAAATAGAAGCAAATACATGATCAGAGTAAATGTAACAAACGTAATATGTCCGGGACATAATTGAAACGCAACAGTTGTTTCCGCAGCCAGAACCGTAATACGTGAGGTGTTTAACGTAATACGCGCGGCGGGGACGCTCGGAATACGCAGTCCGGCTCCGGCCAACAGGTAGTCATAAATCTGGATGAAACAAAAGCGAAAACTGCGGAATCTATTCGGGAGCGTGCCCCGAGCAGCAACGTAGGGCTGCCAGTTTCATCTGGCTGTAATTTAAACGACTATCCTGACGCAACTCCGCATAAAAGGTAGGCTCTCGACAGTCTGCTTTCGGAGAATTCTTGGATACTCCAGTCATACACACAGTCCGACAATCAAATGATCCTAATACATATCACCTTCTTGCTGCTGTGAAACATAAGGACCCGAAGCACTACAAAAAAAAATTACGCGTGCAAAACTTAAATAGTTACTAGAGACTTATGCTGCATCAAATCACAACTTAAGTCAACTAAGACGCTTAAGCTTAATACTCATTTCCCAATTGCGAACCAAATAATTTTGGAAAAAGAAAAACAAAAAGACAGTCCGACAATATGGACAAGCTAATAGTTGTAGGCAAGATAGAGGGAACGCGAACGATCGCCTAGTCGATGGTCGGACCAAGTAACTGCCGTTACGGGACTATCAATTGCAGCTGCCCTGCGAGAGGCTGAAGATTGTATGAAATGGAGTAACATCATAAGAGAGGCAACAGACACCTTTCAAGGACACGACCTTCAGTAATGAAGTGGTATACAAACTTGAAATTAATATCCGTGCTCCTCGAGAGGGAGCCATAAAAAAAAAGTAATGAAGTGGACGAAGAGAAAGAGAGTTTAAATGATTATATTCTATTCTTTGTGATAAGGTGCGAATGATATTCGTATTTTAGCAGTACAAAAGTGATTTTCAACTAGCGACCTAAGGTCGCAATCGTTACTTTTTGCTATTGAACATGAAATATATTTTTTATGATAGTAGTAAGTGAATAGACACTTTAATGCAGTGTGATAAAGTCCCTATTCGGTCGCTCTGCATGGCCCAGTCCGTTTTCTAATATGATTTCACATCACTGCTAATCGATCGTAATCGATGACTTACGAATAACAAACACAGCGACTAACAGTGATTTCATTTGAAAAATTTCTATACTAAAAGAGTATAAATTAGCTTTTTTCAGAAATGAGAGTTCGAATAGTTTTATTCGCTGAAGTAGAGAAGTACGGGTATTAATTCAATTACATTTTCGCTTTGTTTATCCACACTTACAGAAAGTACTGTGCAAGTAATTTTTTAACCACTGTTATAGGAATCTTATAGAAATTGTCTATTTATTAAATTAGACTGCAAATAAAACAAATTATAACAAGTACTTCTTTTTTTATTCAACTTAGAATGGCAATCAAGCTGACGGCCCACCTGATGGGAAGTGGTAACCGTTACCTATAGATATAAGCAGTAGCATTGACATAACAAAGTATACTATTTCACCCATGATACCCCTAAGCGTTGCCATTCCTGAAGACTCAGGTGTTATTTCTCTGTACCCTGTACATTCACTGCTATATCCTCTTCAAACCGAGACATAGCCATGCAAACACAACTGCTTCACGGTAGAAACATGAATAGGACAGAGATGCCCAAGCAAACGACTTTTGTGCAAAGTCTCCCTCTGGTAATACTTCGTTCTCTTGTTACAGGAGAACGGGCGTGCAGTTCCGGTGCTGGTGGTGATCGCGCTCACAGGCCTCCGAGTATGCAACCCGGACGATCAGGTACGATATAATATAATGTTTTTTTTTTTATACCACTGAGGTGGTAAACAAGCATACGGCCCACCTGTGTTTGTGTATGTGTGTGTGTGTGTGTGTGTGTGTGTGTGTGTGTGTGTGTGTGTGTGTGTGTGTGTGTGTGTGTGTGTGTGTTTTCACTAACATAATGTATTATAACGTGTCGTTTCCAGCAGAGTGTGCGCATGTCGCACGCGCTGCGCCGCATCTCGTACGCGACGTGTGAGTCGTCGAGGGCGCTGTTCGCGTACGTGGCCCGCGAGCCACGCACCGAGCCCGCCAACCACTACTGCTACGCCTTCGAGACGGACACGCCCGACCAGGTCACTTTCTCTTCTTTTCGTCTTCTTAATAATCACGGAGACCGCAAGTCTCTTGTCAGGAAGAAAGGGATTAACAATCCCTAATATTAAATCCTTAACTAATGCATTATACGAGGTTTGTCCGGAAAGTACGTATAAAAGTTTTTTAAAAATTTTATTTTACAATTATTCAGGTAAATCAATTTTATCCCCTTCAAAGTACTCCCCCTGTGACATAATGCACTTGTGCCAACGCCGTTTCCACTGTGAGAAGGCTCCTTGAAAGTCCTCTGGTTGTAGGTTTCTCAGCTGCCCCGTCGTAGCTTTTTTTATCTCATTTATGTCCCCCAAATGCCGCCCCCGAAGTACCAATTTGGTTTTGGGGAACAAGAAGAAGTCACACGGGGCCAAATCCGGCGAATAGGGGGTGTTCGGTCACCGTAATGGAATTTTTACTCAAAAACTCACGGACAACAAGAGAGGTGTGGGCAGGGGCATTGTCGTGGTGAAGAATCCAACGCCCCTCTCGCGCCAATTCTGGACGAACTCGTGCCACACGAGCTTTGAGGCGTCTGAGCACATCGACGTAGAATTTTCCATCAACTGTCTGGCCTGGAGGGACGAATTCTTGATGGACAATCCCCCGAACATCGAAAAAAACAATCAACATTGTCTCGGCCCTCTCTGAATCTTTTTAGCCACTTGTGGACGGTTGGTTCCTTCACAGCATCATCCCCATAAACTGTTCTGAGATCGGCAAAAATTTCACGGCCATTCTTGCCGAGTTTCGAGAGAAACTTGATTACGACGCGCTGCTCTTCAACGGAAGCGGGCTCCATGCCGACGGGGTTTCGTTAAGAGGTAACTTCACAGATGGCGTGACAAGCCAGTTCGCACCGCACGGCGGTCAGACCAGAACTGAAGCATTGTTAGGGACATAAGGAAGGGGTCCTGCGCTTACCTGGCCTCCCCACTCCTCTTTCTCGCATTCCAGAACACTTTTATACGAACTTTCCGGACAGACCTCGTACGTAATGGAGACTACGAACCATATTGCTAGTAATATACCTAACCAAGTCGACCTCCTCGCGGTTCCCCCTGGAAACTATTATTAATTGGGGGGAAAGGGATTGTTAGCAATGGAGTTTGACAGTCTCATTGCTAGCAATATTATTAGCCCTATTAGGTCGACCTCCAAGCGGCTCCCCCTGGAAACCATCGTAAACAATTCTTGTTGAATTCGTCACGATGGGCTAACTGACCTGCTTCATCCTCACCTATCATCCTTCACTGGTGCCCCGCCGGTGTATACCGATAGTGCGGGTGGGGTTACCATTTCATTGTAAAAAAACGCCATTTAGGCATCACAGTAAATTACTCAGTAAACTCCAAAGAGACAACATAGGGGGCAAACAAGCATGCGGCTCACCCGATGGTAAATGACTATCACCGCCTATGATCACCCACAACACCAACGGCATTGCAGGTGTGCTGCCGGCCTTTTAAAAAGGAATATGCTCTTTTCTAGAAGGTTATGATATCGTATCGGTTCGGAAATACTACTGCTGGAAGTTGATTCCAAAGAGCGTAAGGATTTTTTTGTATCTTTTCCACACCTTGAGTTTCATTACCGAAGTTTTCATTCGGATCCCTATTTTTAAAATATTCTATACCCTATGTTAATCAGGAATAATGTAACATTGTAATGGTGAAAGAATTGTTGAATTCGGTCCAGTAGTTTTTGAGTTTATTCGTTACATATATACATACAAATCTTTCCTCTTTATAATAGTGTAGATGCAGATTTATTGTGTATTGTGTACCGCAGTTTGGCCGTGCTATTATTATTATTATCACACTTTCATCGCGGCACTGCCGCCGACACGGGGCGTTTTATTCAAATTGTGAGAAATAATTCTACAGTTTCTATTTAAGATATACTCTGTTATGTCCATGGTACTGCTCATGTCTATAGGCGACGGTTACCACTTTCCATCAGGTGGGCCGTCAGCTTGTTTGCTATGTGGTGTAGGGCCCTTTGATGACTCCTAGGCCCTCACCAACTCTGTATTTATCCGAGGTTCACTAATGTTTGCTGATGGTGGGTATACGGTAAAAAATGAACTTACGCATACACGGAGCGAATGCAGTTTTTAGACAATAAAATGATTTATTTGCGTAGCCCACAAGCACATAAACAATGACAATACAATATAGGTGAGATTATACAAATAATAATTTAAATATAGGCAAACACAGTGCATACGTAATACGCGCATTGGAGAGTATCCGCCAAGTTAGCCGCGCTGCCAAAACGTTGCGGCCGCAGTCGGCCGCTATCTTCATGCACTTCGCTTACAGTGTTGCCGCAATGTTTATAAGCGGAGCGGAATTAATGAATTATTAGAATGTTTATATTATTTTTAGTTTATATTATTTTTAGTTTATATTATTTTTAGTTAATACTATTTTTAGTTTCGATTATTCTCCGCTACATCTTCCTCCCGACCAGACCGTGACTACGGTCGATAAAAATCAGGAAATTGTACTCTTCTGCCACTTCTTGTTCTCTTTTCTTCTACGAAAGTTTTGGTCGCAGATGGAAGAGGTGATGACTGCGTAGGTGGAAGTTCTTTAATTTGAGGTTCCTTCATTATGTAAGCTGGCTTTAGTCTGTCTATAGTGACATTGGTTTTCTTGCCTTGGAGGTCTAAGGTAAAGTACTTGGTTTGCCTGTTAAGAACTTTAAAAGGGCCAACATATGGTGCTTCCAAGGAACTACGAACTCGATCTTGCCGCAGGAACACGTGAGATGAAGTAGATAAATCTCGTGGTATGTAAAATGGCGATGATGTAGATGTGTGCCATGAAGTCGGTCGTGGTGTTAACTTGGTCATTTGAGAACAAAGACGGTTAGCGTACTCGGTGACATCGGATGTTGTGTAGTCATCTTTGGGAGACAAAAACTGACCTGGCAAATGGATTGGTTCACCATAGACCAGTTCTGCAGGAGATGTTTGAAGGTCTTCTTTATAAGAACTGCGCATCCCGAGAAGTACCAGAGGTAAGGATTCAGTCCAATGTGATGATGTATGGCACATTATCGCCGCCTTCAACTGACGATGAAGTCGCTCGACGATTCCATTGGCTGCAGGATGGTAGGCGGTGGTACGAAAGTGATGAGCACCAATCAAGGCAGTGAGAGCTTTAAAGAGGTTGCTCTCAAATTGACGACCTCGATCTGTAGTCACACGAGCAGGACAGCCAAACCGCGATATCCAGCCAGATACTAGGGCTGTCGCGCAGGTTTCTGCAGTGATGTCCTTCAAGGGGAATGCCTCAGGTCACCGGGTGAAGCGGTCGATGACGGTGAGACAATACCTGTAATCACACGAAGGAGGTAATGGACCTATAAGGTCAAGGTGGATATGTGAAAAACGAGAGGAAGGAGTGAGGAATGTGGCAGGAAGGGATTTGGTATGTCGGGTAATCTTGCTTTTCTGGCATTGCAAGCATTGCCTAGCCCACTCTCTACATTCTTTACGAATCCCTGGCCACACAAATCTTTGAGTAACCAACCGTACTGTAGCTGAACCTCCAGGATGATGTAAATTGTGGATCATGTCAAAAACTTGTTTTCGCAGCTGTGGAGTAACATAAGGCCTAAGATTCTGCATAGATGTGTCACAGTAGATAGGTAAGTGACAGTAATCAGTACTAATCTTCTTGAGTTCTAGAGAAGTACCATGGTTTAACAGGTCTTGCAGTTCTGGATCATTCTCCTGAAATTTTGCAAGGTCCTGATAATTGATAAGTGCTGAGATTTCGTCAGTACGAGATAGTGCGTCTGCTACGACATTTTTGTGTCCAGGTAAGAATCTCAAGTCTGTAGTAAATTGTGATATGAAATCAAGATATCGGAACTGTCTGGGGCTGCATTTCTCTTTATTATTGACGAATGCAAATATGAGTGGCTTATGATCGGTATAGATAGCGAACGTTCTGGCTTCGATCATATGCCGAAAGTATTTAATCGCTTCGTAAACTGCCAAGAGTTCTCTATCATACTGGCTGTACTTTCTTTGAGATGTAGTGAGCTTGTGGGAATAGAATGCCAAAGGTTGCCAATTATGATCTATCCGTTGTTGGAGAACAGCTCCTATCGCTAAGTCTGAGGCATCAGTGACGATTGCTAATTCGGCAGATGGATGGGGATGGGCAAGTAAGGTTGCATCTGAAAGCGATCTTTTGCAATCATTGAAGGCTTGTAAGGCATCTGCTGTCAGCTCAATTGGATGAGAGCCTTTGATCTTTGGACCAGCGAGCAAATCATGCAATGGCGCTTGGAATTTAGCTGCCTTAGGGATGAACCGGCGGTAGAAGTTGAGCATTCCTAAAAAACGTCGGAGTTCTTTGACGGTCTTGGGTGCAGAGTAGTCCTGGATAGCTTTTATTTTACTCTCCAAAGGCGTTGTTCCAGCAGCGGATACGTTATACCCTAGAAAAGTGACACTTCCTTGTCCAAGCGAGCATTTCGAGGTATTCACAAGTATGCCAAACTTCTTAAGACGGTCAAATAGCTGACGTAGATGACTCTCATGTTCTTCTTTGCTTCTCGAAAATACTAGAATGTCATCAATGTAGCCATAGCAAAAGTCTAGACCTAAAAGAACTTCGTCAATGAACCTTTGGAACGTCTGAGCAGCGTTTCTAAGTCCAAAGGTCATGTATGGGAATTCATACATTCCAAAAGGTGTTGTAATAGCTGTTTTAGGGATGTCATCAGGATTCATTGCTATTTGATTATAAGCTTTCACGAGGTCTATCGTTGAAAAGACTGAATAACCTGAAAGCTGATAGGAGAAATCGTGAATATGGCGTATAGGATACCGGTCTGGTATAGTTCTAGCATTCAGTGCACGGTAATCACCACACGGACGCCATCCTTCGTCCTTCTTTTTAACTAGGTGAAGAGCAGAAGACCATGGACTTTCTGAACGTCTGGCAATACCACTAGCCAG